CGGAGTTAATTCAACTGCTGAAACAAGGAGGCTTCGATCTGCACAAATGGGCTTCCAATTGCAGGAATGTAGCTCACGGTCACTCCGACGTTGTAGATCTCATCAAGACAAATAAGCAACAGATACTAGGACTGGTCTGGGAAACGCAAACAGATGAATTTATCATCTCCTGGAACATCTCTGATTCGAAGGAGACCCACACTAAGAGGGAGCTTCTTGCGGAAATAATGAGGCTCTACGACCCGCTAGGCATATGCGCACCCATGATCTTCAGGGCAAAGTGCATGCTGCAGGAACTTTGGAAGGTGCCTAACGTACAATGGGATGACCCATTACCGGATTCAATACAAAGGGATTGGAATAGATTCCGCAAGCAGGTTACGGGTGAAATACAAATACCTCGATGTATTCGTCCGCCATCATCCAACCAATTTGAACTACACGGATTTGGAGATGCATCTGAACTCGGATATGGATGTTGTATATATGTCCGAGCTCTCTTCGAAGAGCAAACCGTAACCACACGACTGCTATGCGCCAAATCGCGGGTAGCACCGTTAAAGAAATCAACTATTCCACGGCTGGAACTTTCAGCAGCCTTAATTTTGGCCGAGTTGACACAAAGGGTAAGGTTGGCGATGAAATTGCATTTTCGGAAGGTTATACTATGGACTGATTCAACCATCACGTGGCATCGAATTCAGTCGGATCCCTCGCGATTCTCCACATTCGTCGCTAACCGAGTCATGAGAATTCAGGAATTATCAGCTCCGGAACAATGGAGGCACGTTCCTGGAGAATTAAACCCAGCAGATATAGTTTCCCGAGGATGTTTGCCGAACGCGCTAAGGGATTGCGAGACATGGATGCACGGGCCGAAATTCTTACAAGGGGATACAAGTTGTTGGCCTAACAACGTTTTACATCAAGATGACAGCGAAGCCGTAGCGGATCCGGAGGTGAAGCTGACATCCAAGTCTATTGTATGCAACATTGGTTCAAGCGATCCACTAACGTCCAGATATTCCAATCTTAATCGACTGCTGAGAGTGATGTCATGGATTTTACGATTCATCAACAATGTTCGAGGATCACCCACATCTAAGGTTCTAGGACAACTACAAGCATCAGAGTTATCCAAGGCTCTCGAGGTATTAGTACGGCAGGCACAAGGGAAGGATTTCGAAAGGGAAATTGATCTACTAACAACCGGCGCAGAACTCAGCAACAACAGTTCTCTAACGCATTTACGACCTTTCTTAGATGACAACAACGTCTTGCGAGTAAACGGAAGATTGCATAATGCAGACATAAACGAGGATCAACGGCACCCAATGTTGCTATCAAGCAAAAATCCACTCAGTACACTTCTTGCGCGACATCATCATGCGTCCAATTTACATGCGGGTCCTCAAGCACTGTTATACTCCCTGCGTCAACAATTTTGGATTTTAGGAGGACGGAATTTATCGCGAAGGATCGTGCACGAGTGTGTAAGGTGTTTTCGAGCGAGGCCCAGGTTCATCCACCAATTGATGGGTCAGCTACCTCCTGCCAGAGTCAATCAGACTCGCCCATTTTCAAAGGTAGGCGTGGACTTTTGCGGACCATTTATCTGTAAGCCAAGGGTTCGCAGCAAGGCCTTACTCAAAACCTACATTTCGGTCTTCGTCTGTTTTGTGACCAAGGCGATCCACCTGGAGGTGGTCACAGATCTAACTACGGAGGCGTTCCTTGCGGCGCTCAAGCGCTTTATCTCTCGTAGAGGGCGATGCTCAGATATCTACAGTGACAATGCAACTAACTTTGTAGGAGCAGATCGCTCACTCCAGGAACTGAAGAATCTGTTCGAAACTCAACGTCACCAAACAACTTTGCACAACGCTTGCTCCGAGGAGGGCATAACTTGGCACACCATACCACCCAATTCGCCTCATTTTGGTGGACTATGGGAGGCTGCCGTCAAGGCTGCTAAGCACCATCTTAAACGTGCATTGGGCTCGATGTCTTTCACCACCGAAGAGCTTAATACCGTAGTAATTCAGACTGAGGCTTGCCTGAACTCGAGGCCGATCACACCTATGTCTACTGATCCAGCGGACTTAGAAGCTCTCACCCCAGGGCATTTTCTGGTCGGAGCCCCTTTAAATGCTCTGCCGGAACCAGATTTGACGGATATCAACCTAAACCGGCTGTCGAGATGGCAACGATTGCAACAGCAGCTGCAATTATTCTGGAGAAGATGGTCGACGGAATACCTAACAGAACTGCATTCCCGTGCAAAATGGTACCGGAAGCGAGACAACATAAACGTAGGAACGATGGTACTACTTAAAGATGAGCAACTCCCTCCGATGAAGTGGACTGTGGGACGAATCACGGAGTGCCACGCTGGAGCGGATGGACTAGTGAGAGTCGTTTCCGTAAAAACCGCGCGCGGATTGTATAAACGAAGTATTACGAAAGTTTGTCCCTTACCTATAGACACTTAATATTCGCATATTATTACTTAACCGACAAATATAACGAACCAACTTTACTTTCATATTTACAGTTCATGTTTATTATCGCTAAGGATATAATAGTTAGTTACTCATTTCGATGTTGAAATTTTCTATTTCAAGGAGGCCGGAATGTTCACGCGTAGATTTGAATAGCGCGCTAGTAGAGGCGCCCGCGTAAGCAAATTTAGTTACAGCGCTACCGATTAGGAGAGGCGCCAGCGTAGCCAATTAATAGCAGCGCTTAAAGCGCTTCCGGCTAGGGTCAGAAGAAGACTTCCGCTCACTGTCTTGTACGCACTACAATAAAGAGTACAAGGTTCTCACCTACTGAATCTTGTGATAGTACCTATCTCAGGCGTGTCCTACCTGTTTCACCATTCATCCTCTGAGATTCATCGGCCGTAAAGCCGTAACACATGCATTCAGTATTGTTGGGTGTTACAAGGCACCATACGAAATTATTACTGTCGTCCCCAGAAGAAGCTTATTATGCGGGAACTCCAAATAAAAAATTAATTATCAATCGTCGACTGAATTCAATTACGCCTCCAAAGTGTATAACACGATCACCTCGGAATATTGATGAAAGGAAAATGTGGAAGGCGTCTGAATGGCGTTCTTGGCTAATATGGTATGCTTCATCACGAGTCACGAGACACGGTAGTGACTCGCGCCAAGTATAAGCGACTAAGTATAAGCGACAAACCTAACTACGC